TATATATAAAAATGTCTCATAATTTGTGCAAAAGGCTGTATACTTTAGAAATTGTTGTTTTGATGTTTGCATCTTTTTTTCAAAGCAAAAGTTAGTTAATAACTACATAAGTTAGTATACAGTAGTCATGGCAAAGTAAATATCGGCATGATGAGAATGACATTAGTTGTGGAAAGTGTGTCAGTCAATCATGGATCTTACCTGTTGGCTGTAATAATGAAGATAATAAATGTCCAATGTTTGATGCACTTTCCACAAGACTATTTCGCTTTAGATCCTCCCACTAGAAACAGAGATATTTCAATTACTTTATTCATCAACAATCCAGACCTGTTAGTGGCAGAGGTTGATAACCTTAACATCTCTTTTATTCATGAATAATCAAGGATTAAATTACAACTATGAGATCACAACTGATCAAATGCTTGCATTAATAAATATCAACTATTGCTCTGGATTTGTCTATGTAAGTTAATATCAATGAATACAGGAAGTTGGATTTTAACTAAAGTTCATGATTTAGGGCAAACTCTCTTAACACAAAATTCTAGATATAAAATATAGATAATAGCTGCATCCTTACAAAACCATTATTGACTGCATCAACAAATGAATCTTCAGGAAGGTTAACAAGGGTTTTTGCATGTTCAGGTGTAGTGGTCCATACCAAAGAACTCATGTCTTCTGATAGCTATAATGATAACAAGAAATAAAGAACACTTGGCAGCGATGATCAGTTTTAGTTATGCAMAATTGAAACAAATAAAAAGGACACACACACACAACCAAAATGATGTTGTAGCATGTCACTACGCTTAGGCTTCATTCTTAATCCAAAAGTTGGGTTTCTACAATGTTTTWGTTCCTTGGACAAGTAATCATTTCAGACACTACTACTTGTAGTTATGTTCTGCAGTTGTAATTATGTTCTTACATGTATGTTATGTATTGTCAGAAAAGAACWACAACAACAAACACTAATGTCTGAAAACAAAACAAAAACAAAACACAATTTTTGTAAAGTTTCAAGGCATGTTAAATGCAACACTCAGCTGTAATATCTAGTACTTACTGGGAGCAATGCCATTGGTCCAGTTGGTAAGAACTTCTGCCAAGCTACTAGATTTTCAGTTATCTAAATATAATGACATATAATWTTCATCATTTAATTATTCAAATTTAAATATTGTTTTATACAAACAAGAAAACAGATATTTACATAGTCATTTTGAAATGCTGGGTAGACAATACAAAATTACAATGCATTGCCAAAGTAAAAAGACAATGAGCCATGGAATGAATGGAAAAAAATGGAAAGATCAAAAAGTGTTTGAGGCAGCAAGCAAGAACTGATCTACAAAGATGTCTTTACCTCTGCCAACTCAAGTGTTGCTACAACTCCAAATTGTTGGTAGYTCCATGACAAATACTCTGTATCCATGGCACCTCTCACTGTGGACTTGACACCATCAGCCCCAATCTACAAATAACTTCTTATTGGTAAATAGAATGATAGAGAACAAAATGACAAGCACAMCCATTTTGCCTTTTCGACTACTCTCAAGAGAACCATCTCCCTCATCTCCATCAATGTCTGTGGTGCAAAAGGATTCATTGTTTTGCCAAATGAACCCAACCCATGTCTGTGTGGACAAGCACACCATGTGTCCTCTCTATCCATCATTATTTGGGGGTTCTTTTAAATGTGTCTTTTTTTAGCCCATTTAACTACAGGAGCCTCACCAGTAATCTAGTTTTGATTGTCCTTCCATCATTCATTTGTACTCCAACCCAAGGATTATAGTTTGGTTCATCCTATGTAAAAAGATATCTATCATTAAAGGTAGATTTTATTATCATAACTATGCAATCAAGTATGCATATTGCATTCAGTACATTCCCTATATTTAACAAATTGTAATGCCTGATGTCAGTACTGACAGAAAAAAACTTAGTATAGCAATTTACTCACCAAATGAACTTACCACATTCCAAACAGGATCAGGTATACTGATATTTTTGATTCTTGCATTGTGTAATACTTCAATATTTTGCTGTAATTTTTGTAATTGTATATTCAAGGCTTGTGTGATAACAGAGTTTTCTACAATGTAMGCCATATCCATCTTACTGCTAACATCATGGGCTGTGTCAAAGGCTATATGGCCATCACCACAAGCATCCCACACCTAAGTATTAATTTAAAATATATAATAGTCCACATTTGATATTTCAGTTGACTAACCACAATAGAATGAAGACAAGGCTTAGGGAAAACAATTAAGCAGAATATTGAAAATCTATTATTATTATTATGGTGTAGGAAACAACAAAGTTTGGCTCTAAATTAAGTACACTCAAAGACAGGGGGAGTGAGCCACAATGGGGCAGTCAGTCAGCATCATATTATAGTTTGTCTCTAAATTGTACACTCAAAGACAGGAGGAGTGAGGCACAATGGGGCAGTCAGTCAGCATCGTATTATAGTTTGTCTCTAAATTGTACACTCAAAGACAGGGGGAGTGAGCCACAATGGGGCAGTCAGTCAGCGTCGTATTATGGTTTGGCTCTAAATTTTACACTCAAAGACAGGGGGAGTGAACCACGGTGAGGCAGTCAGTCAGTGTCAGTGGTTCTTTTATGTCCCCCCTCCCAATGCAGTATAGAAGTATTGGGAGATGGGAACTCCAGTTTAATGTCCCTATCAAAGAAGACATGATGATCTAACCATTTGCATAGATATTTAATTATTCTGAGACCCTGAGTATTTGACTGTCCTGGGACAAAACCCTTGACATACTACAGACAATATTTTGATTCTCTACCAAATGAGCTAACTGGTTGTCAGCAAGCAGAGTTGTCAAAATGGGCTATTCTTCATGAAGTCCTACTTTAAGTGATAATTTGTTTTCTTTGATTTTAGCAAAAAAGGGAAGATGTTGTAAATATGAACCATGTGTGACAGACAGACCAAATTTATAGAATACTATGTACCTGCATTCTTTTGTATGGTTTCATTCTCATATCTGAGATGTGATCCCAAGCACCTATTCCTGAGGAGATAACACTTGATCATAAATACAATATATAGATAAATACAATATATAGAGAGCACAAGAGAAGTCAGCCTAGGAACACAAGAACAGCAAGTGCTTCTTTTCCTTCTAGAGTGTCACCATCTCCCTCCATGTTTATATCAGAATAGACCCCTTGCAGTTCATGGGAATGCAGCTCCAACTGGAGGACAAAACAATAGATTCTAGTTCCCAAGAGGATAAAAATCTTTTGTTTTGTCCTCCAGATGAAGCTGTTTTGACGTCACATGCAAGGGGTCTATAGAACCACAAATGCAAGTTTTACATAATTCTCTACACCTATTTCTGCTTGCACTAAGCTTTGTTCTAAACTTTTCTTGGATTGATAGCATAAGCTGCCAAGTATATATATAAAAGATCAAACCTTAATTTAAGACATGTCAGATAATAATGACTGTGTCTTTCTATTCCTGCTTTGTCAGGACTGGATATTAATCTCTAACTAACATGGCTCTTTTGTTGTATTTTTCAATAGAAATAACTTACTTTCTAGCAGGTCCCTAGAGCCTGGTGTAATHGAGCTGACACGGTTTTCATAATTGTTTGGAAGACAAAAGTCTTTTTTAGGGGCAGCTTCTAGAAGTAACACTTTATGTTCTGCAAGACTACTTTCTAATCCTGATAAAGRAATGGAAATACCATTAAAATGACTGCGAMAATAAGAGAGATGAGAGAGCCTAGGAGGTAGTTGACTTAAACTGGCTGCAGGCAGGTTAGAAGGCTTATCAGAGGTTAGGTTTAGGTCTAACCCCCTACTGTCAATTCTCCCACAWAATCCAGGAATCTCAAGATTAATGACCAAAAGTCTCACTGATGCCTACAGTATGATCTTCTATCTAATTTGACTTTTTGTTGGATTGTACATATTCATTTCTACTCTATGCAGCACAATTAATGAGGTTATTTTGTATGAAAACAT